CAGATAATAAACCATAATAACCTAACAAGTCTGTAGTGCTTTTCAATATTCTCATTGGTTCCTGAGAAATATATTTTGAAGTTGGACCATAGAAAAATATTTCGGTTGTTGTCACGCTCCGGAACGTCACGAGAGAAATAGTTCGAATTTGGTTCAAGCCTCGCACATCTGTGCGTTCGTATCTGGAGAACATTCAGGCCAATTTTTATGACAATCCCACAGATCTTCATACCCGAGTAGAGGTTACTCCCGTTAGAAAAAACCTCGAGATATTGCCCTCCAGAGAATTTCACGGAGACGAACGCTATTAACGACAAAAGAGAAATACATGGAATGCTCTATCGCCCAACTTTTTGCATGAACATTTCACACAGTTAGATTCAAGCTTTATGAATGCATTTATTATTCTGAGTATTAAACATAATGTACATCCCGCGAAGACCTCTAATGCTTTTAGAGATAACGGTATAATTGCAATGACAACAACAAACAATGTAATAGTTCATTCTTCTTTGAAGAGTTCAGTTTGGTAGAATATCATTCTCATCCCTGGGTCATCATCTTCCTTGAAAAACGTTTGCAGAACGTTAATCTTTCCATTCCGTGACCCTTAAAGGGTCTCTTAGGATATAGTGTTGCAGTAATACTTATACAGAAACCATGGAAAACGAAAGAAAGTTCAAAGTTTCTTCAACTTCTCAGTTGTATAACTTTTGCTTCTAATAAAAAAATGGACCAGTCTAATTGTTTCAGAATGCCGTTTCATGGTTTACAGCCATCTCAGTAACAGCTCTATCAGTTCGGTTTTGACGAGCATACATATTTCGCAGTATGGAAAGTATAGATTGTCGAATATCTCTCATCAACAAGCAGTAAACAACAGGGTTTAACGATGAATTAACATATACCAGGGTGAGAGTATACTGAAGAAAATTAAAATACGTGGTATTTGGTTCACGAATAACTAAACCTACACCATATGTACAGTAATAAGGCAAGTAGCACAACAAAAACACGACATACACATAGCATGTGCACAACCCCGACTTCTTCATCCTCGCAATGTACACTGCCATTTCATTATTGTGGACATGAAGGGTTTGAATTCGGTTTATGTGTCGCTGCGCAGTGGAATAAATTTTACAATAAAAAATGGAAGTACAAATAAAACAAAAACCAAAAATAACGACCAAGATTGGACCACCAATTGGCAACGGGAGAGACATGATTAATGACAGCGATGCACTAACCACCCATACTACAGCAGCCAAAGCAACAACACGTTTGTGTGTCACAAGTTCCTGATATCTAAGATGAAGGTGAATGGCCAGAAATCTTTCGGCACCCAGAGCTGTAACACTCAGAAACGATGCAAACCAAAAGGCACGAGGCAAGAAGTCGTCGACAATCCCAAGAACCTTCACTTTTTCCAAGGCACGTCCTTCATAGTGGCAAATAACCAGTCGTGCGACATAAATAGGTTGTGCACAGAAACCAACGCAGAGATCAGAAACAGCAAGACTTATCAGCAATGTTTTTAAAATCTTTGGCAATGCCGACGACTTCCTCATGCCAATAATTGCCAAAACGTTTAACATTATGGATGTGTAAGAAGAGAACGAGTTAAAGACAACATTAATAATACAATGGATGGAGTCTTGAGCCTGAACCATGATCTTGTTGGATAAGTACCTGACTCGTTGAGATGAGCTTGTATGTGGAGAATGAGTCAATCTCATTTGAAAAGTTAGGCCTGCTGAAATGCTTTATTAAAAGCTCTTGTCGATGACTTATGAATAAGCTAGGGACAGGTTCCTGCCACCTGTCTTGTATTATTTTTAGAAGACATCGAAAGCACAGAGGGCTACCGCCTTGAGTTGTTTCTAACAGTTTTTTCGTCTCGTTTTCAGTGTTTCAAAGCTGCACACTTCATACGAGGATTGAAACATCACGAATGTGCCCAGAAAAAGGCGTTTAAAATAGGATTAGCAATGTTCGATAAATAGCAAATAACTTTTTCACTTGCAACAGTGCAACTTAGGAAGGGAACGCAGCTTTCAAAAAAAAATAAATTAAGGTTCGTTTAAAAAAAATAATAATTTAAGGTTCGCTGACATCCTTCTCCGTATTATTACATATTTTGATCTTGTGCGAGATGTTTAACTTATTTATATTGCCTTTCCGAGTTCTGTTTGGGACTGATTAATTAACTAGTTCAGAATGGTGACATCTGTCGGTTTACCTAAGTAGAAATGTCCACATGCATTTCATTATATCGTCATTACTGACCCGCAGTGACGGGCCCGATCGAGTTTATTTGTCGCTCCATAATCCAACACAATTATCGCATACTTATCGAGTGTATTTCCTAAAAATACTGTTCAGAGACTTGTCTAATTCGTCCACATGTTGATCAATTCACATACAACTAAGTGCAATAACGTTATCCTGAGAAAAGAAAAAATTAAAAAAGGAAATGGGAATTAATTAGCATATAAATTTACGCTGAGGCCACGAAAACACGAAATATTCATAAAATTAAGTCCACAGAAAAATTAGTTCAAACTTCATTAGAATATCAGACGTTTCTTCATAAATAATTGACGATTCCAAGTTTACAAAGGTCCGTTTTCCATAAGAATGAAAAACACCTCCTTTTCGAACAAAGCATTTTAATCACGCGTAAAAGAAAACCTGTTTCGACAATTGGCTGCTACCGCTCCATTATGATATACGAAAATAAAAGACGAATTCACATTTCAGTATTATATTCTAAACCAAAACTTCTTTTTTTTCTGGTGACAAATAATTTCTTCGCAAAGTAAAACAATCTTCAAAATCAATATTTCAAGGAAACTTAATGCATGCAGCATCCCCACCTCCCCCACCCCTCCCTCCTCTCAGCTTTTTACACAGTTCCGCAAGTCTAGACTAAAACATAGGCATGTCGAGCGTGCCAATGATATTGTTTCTTGTTTTAAGAGGAGGGAGTGAGTTCTTGGTGAAACAACACAACAGAACTTTTCGTTCCGAATTGGATTGCATGTAGCGGCCGATTCACCCTATTTTATTTATTTACTAACCCTTTCACCGCTAAGAGTGAGTACCATCTAATTTCGCTACTAAATCAAATATTCAGGCCAAGAGAAAAAAAAAAAAACAATCTCCGACTAAATAGGCTCATGATTATTAAACAAATTCTCCTTGTACGTATAAGGGTAAACGAATACAGAACATTGGGAAGAAAACACATACTGAACATACTGATGTAAGAGTGTAAAGGGTCACGTTCACTTTATCGTCCACAGAGCGAAGTCACAATTTTTTTTTGGTGACCCCTCTAGGGCTTTATGACTGCATAATCGCATTCAAAACGGCAATCTTGTGTTAAACAAGATTGACAAATCGCGCGCTCGTAGCCGGTTCAGCTTTTTCCACTACGGACCACGGTCCGCAATTTTTCCTCAAGACCTCAGCCATTATTTTCATGCCGTCCGACTTCCCGCCCAGTAAATAACAACATAAATTTCGGTGCCAAACTCTCGCTCTTTTTTGCGTACATAGTTACTGGCAAATATGATTTAAGAGAAGCATTTAAAATGTCGCGTTTTCTTGAAGCCAGCCGGGAAGCTAATAGGTCTAACGTGCATCACATCCAGTGGAAAAAAATAAAGTAAACTTGGGTACCCGAAAAAGTAAAGAGTGATTGAGGGTTTTCCGCAAATGCAAGCTGTTCACATCTCATTGCTAAGGAGGCGACGGCGTCTGTGCACGATAAAAGGTAAAAGGCATGAAATTGGTTAATGTGAAATGAATAGATTGCCGTCACGCCCACGGTTTTTCATTTCAAAACATTTATACTACAATTTAACGTATCGCCGGACTAACAGAAAAAACCAGAAACGGAAAAAGATATTTTAAGCACGACCAGAGGATCCGTAGAGCTGAGACAAAAAATGAGTTTAGTTAGCCTTACGTGCGTCAAAGAAATAAGTATTGACATTGTAGTGAAAGATTGTGTCGACGGAAAAAGTTAAGTGGCGCTTAACTCATTCCGCAGGAGCCTACCGATAATTGATTATCACTTGTTGGGTGAAGGCTGAGTACTTCAAAACGCGTAAAATTAACAAATCGCCCTTGTGCTCGCGTTATTGCTTTAAAATTAGGAAACGGTCAAGTTTTAGAAGGGCCCGTTCCATAAGGCCTTGTATAAACTGCACAAAACGAAACATCTCCTTTGTTTAGATCTTACATTATCGAACAATTTTTTTTACTTCCTTGACAGTCCTGTTTGTTTAGATATAAGTTCTGGGCCCTAAATCAGAGCCATGCCACAAGAAATCGTACAGATCGGCGATCTTTCCACTCCCTAAAGGATAATTTATTTCTTGCAAAAGAAAATGTCAGAACTGCTTCCGTCTCTCCCAATTTCCCTTTCCCATATGAAAATGTAATTGGAAAATCACAGGGAATCGTCTTCATTTTTTTTTTCAGTTATAAGCATTGTTGCCATTAACAAAACGCCGACATAGATTTCACCAACAACTTCATTAGAGACGCCTCATGAAATTTGATACCCTATCTTTTGGGCATAAAGTAAAATTTACGTTCATATCGGCGGCAACACAAAGGCCAGGGATTCAATGAAGCATGCCTTTAACGTTCTACTTATGCCTCAAAAGTCAAAACTGATTAAAATGGAACAACTCTTTAATGACTCTTTTTAAATGTTTTTTAGTGTATTTTCTTCATACTTTTTTTCTTAATGATAAGAAAGGCCCTTTGCCGACACAAGAGGTATACAGCGTATTTGTATGTTAAGTTGAGCATGTAACACCGATCATATTAATTCTTCCATTAATTCCACCAACCATTCAAATAACAGAGACGAAATGTGTCTTGTCTGAGGGTTGTTCGGCTAGACGAGAAATTTGACAGTATTCCACTCTGTCTGAGATTTTGTTTTCGTTGTCATCGAAAATTCATAGGAAAAACGGGGACGCATACCAACCAGTTTCATATAAGTAACGTTGCCACAAAGGAATGCAATTGTACTACGAATCAAAAAGGTTTTACACGACATGTAATATATTTCATTACGTCCACAATGTTGTGGTCATTGATGGTATCCAACACCGAAAGAAATCATTTTTCAATCTACGAGGTGTTCTTTTATTACGTCTCCGATTATTGCTGGCTTTAATTATTTTTCTACAAGCGATTACTTTTTTTCCTTAAAAACATTACGAAGAAAAGCTCTTGTTACTCCATTATTTTATTTTTTACATCACGTATGGCTTTTTTTTTAATCTTTCTCGGAAAACAAGTTACAAATGTAATACATTACTTTTTAACGAAAACGTACATCGTTCTGATTCTATAAGGTTACCTAACGACAGATGCTATCTACTTCCTTCATCTTCAAAATATTATTTTATCAAACTTCTGTTTTTTGTTCACTTTAAGATAGTCTTTTCTAGTTTTCCACCCTCACATTATCAAATCTATGTTAATTTAGAAAGTACTTTGTCCTTCAGTTTTTTTTTTTTCTTTTTTTCTTTTTTCAATATTGGGTGCAGATCGTGCGTTTCTAAACAAAAACCTTACAGGTTCACTATCAATTCAGTTGTGATAAAAAACAAGTTTTCGCAGTGAGTTCATAATAGCGAGACGAATATGTCTTATCTTCCATGAGTAGACGACAGGATTTAAGGTCGAATTAAGGTACACCAGTGTTACAGAAAATAAATCAAATGTGCGCATCGACGTATTTTGTTGAGGGATCAGGATACGCGCCACCAACATGCAGTTATGTGGCAAATAACAGATTAAAAAGACCAGAAACACGTAAAATGTACTGAGAGCAAATTTTCTGAGCTTGTCAGCATTCACCGCTATTTTATTGCCTTGGGGTACTTCTTGTCCCCTCTGTGGACGATGCCGCAGTCGGCTTGCAAGGCGCCGTACAGTGAAATAAATCTTACAATACACAGTTGTGCAAAAGATGACACACAGACTGGAAATACACGTCAGAAGGATTAACAACACTATTGTATTCCAGAAAGATAACAAAGCAATCAATGCACCAAACAGCCACAATATTATTACCCCGACCACAACACGCTTGTGAGTTACTAGTTCCTGATATCTGAGATGAAGATGAACAGCTAAAAATCTGTCTACACTGAGAGCCGTGACGCCAAGAAACGACGAGATTGCAAATAAACCAGCAGAAAATGTGCACAAGGCCAGTATCCAATTTGTTCGCTTTTGTTGCAAACCTTCAACCAGTAACGCAGTATAGAGAGGCTGTACCATTAATCCAACTCCAAGATCAGACACAGCAAGACTTAACAGTAATGTTTTCAGAGTCTTTGGCAAAGATGAAGTTTTCCTGAGAGCATTGATTGTTAAAATATTAAGCACTATGGCCGTATAGGATAAACAGCCATTCATAACCGAATTACTCATGTACGCTGGATACATGGGATCTGAGCCTTGTTCCATTTTTCAAGCTAAAGTCTAGGAGAAGAGTGGTAGCCTTGCTGTTGTGTAGAGCGTTTTGGTTTGGCGCCTGTCTCCGCATAGAATGGACGAGTCTGATGTCTACGACGCAGAGCCTTTGTTTAAAAGCGTTATTGTGGCCACTTCCTGTTAAGAGCTGATGAGCTTATGTGTAAATTAAAGTCACCTGCTGGGTGTTCAGCGGGAGGCCGGATTTAAATTGCACGCAATTCTTGTTTTTGGCCCTTTTTGTCGAAAAAAATTCTCCATCGTATTTATTTGCCATCGTTATATCCAGCTAAAAAATACTATTTATTATTTGGATGCAAGACAAATTTGTTAAAAACAGAACAACTTTTTCCATTAAGTTTTCAGGTGAGCTTTTAATAGCTCTCTCTCTTTGAGCTGTCCATCTCAAAAGTGGATTGAACAGAATTGTAGAGATAAATTAGAGAGGGCGGAGAAAATGATTGGAATTTGGCATCTTATCTCCACGATAACAGAGAAGATCTAAGAAGATCTTCCTTATAAACATTATAACATCGACGCTGCATCTCTTTAGTAATTTCAAAATGTACGTGAACATTAAAAAATACTTAAAGGTGGTCATTACATACCGTTCATAAAATGCAACGTAGGTTTGTAAAAAAAAATATTAACTGCTTCAATTTGATTGGTTGTAAGACTACAGAGTAAATGTTATTGAAGGGCTCCTCGAGTTGCCCATTCAATCAGTCGTCTGATTGCGATAAAAACGAGAAAATTACTCACCCTGGTGGGGAAAAATGTTGAAGGATATCCTTTAAAACAATTTGATAAAGGCCATTGAAAGGCAAAACAATTTGATAAAGGCCATTGAAAGGCAAAACAATTTGACAAAGGCCATTGAAAGACTTCCAACTTACCAATGGTAGGTTTAACTCCACAAGCTCTGCTCTCAACATGTCTACGTCCTAAATGTGTTTGAAGAACAATGTTGCATTAAGTACCAAAATAGCGGCTAAAAGCCCTGCGGGGTTGAAGGCTTATTCATTTTCAAAGCTTCCAAGCAGGGGGCTCATCAAAAAGAGAGAGGGCTCAAAAATTCAAAGTGAGCGTGATTGTCTTTTCGGATCTACGTTTTGATAAATACCGATTACAGTATTCTCTTTGGTTGTAAAACTCCTGGAACTATCTAGAACGAATGCTATCGAAGGCTTTTGGATATCACAAGAAAACTTCATGGCAATAAGATTCTCGCCTTTAAAATAACTATACATCTCTCAGAACAGTAAACGATGAATCAGTTTTGATCGACAAAAAACGCACGCTGCATTTAGTGATATTAAAAAAATCGTAATTTTCACGATAGATTTGCATATTTTGTTTGACGTTAAGTCGATGAGGAAGTATCAACTTCTTTTAAGGCTAGTAAGAAGGGCGATTAGCTTAAATCCACAAGTTCAGCTTTCAACAAATCTAGATTCTAAATGCATTTGAAGCACAAAGTTATGTTAAGTACCGCAATGGATGTAAAAACCCCCTGGGGGAGGGCTTAGAAATTTCCAGGGCTTCTAAACTGGAGGGCTCATTAAGGAGAGGAGTGGAGGGGAAGGAACTCATAAAAACTTAAAAGCGGAGGCAATTATCTTTTCTACAACTCTAACTTTTCGTGGAAATAAGATTATCAACTTTAAAACAACTAGAAATCACCCGGCACCGTAAACAATAGACCAGATTTGATCGACCAAAGTGCGTACTGTATTTAAGAATTTTGAAAAAAAAAAAATCTCAACTTCCACATTAAAATTGAAAATTTTTGTGTGACGTAGAGAGACGGAAATATTAACTTTCCTTTTTAAGCTAATAATGCAGTAATCATTAAGCAAGTTTCAATTGCTTGTCGAAAATAATACTCGATTGCATTGGTTTTGCTTTCATCTGTTTTGTGATTACTCTAGGAATCTTGAACCATCCTGTCAACCAATCAGATGCCAAATTAAATCCCATCGCGACTTGTCCACTCGGATTTTCCCGCCTTTTCAAGTAGTTCTGATCAGTCGATTTTACCTTGAGTTCTCATTGGTTCACAATGATATTTTCCCTTATTCTGATTGGCCATCGTAACTGCTTGTTGTGGGTGTCAAAGCTCAATCGTAAATTGCTTTTAAAGTAAATACACCGCTTTACCTGAGACTTTTGCAGCGAGTCAATTCTTCTTTGGTGATCTATTCGGATATTTTCTAACTTCTTCAGTGCCGTCTTTTCCTGAGACAGAGCCTTCATGTCAATTTTCTGGCTTTCAATTTTTGAGAAGAACTCATCCACTGCCTGAAGATTCAAGATTATAATTATTTTTGGGTGATAATTTCATAATTAGATGGTTATGTACAAATGCAATAAAAATAACTCATCACTGAAATGGTTTCTCAAGAGATGCTATTAATATAAACTTGTTCAACATTTCAAATAAATATGATGATAACTAATAATAATAAGTATTGTTAATGGTAGTTGTGGTAGAATTATTTATAGTATCATTATTTTTACAATTAATATCATTATTGTTTATCGTGATAGTACCTATACGCAAAAAGCTCTTTATCTGATACAGATTAATAATAAAAGGAAGAAAAAATGCCTAAAAATAATAATGAATCACTATGCACGTTATACAATAATGTGTTAAACCAAACACACATTTACACCCAAGAGTAAGCTCATTTTTTACTGTCTGGGAGCTTCTAGATATACTAACTAATCAAGTTAAACAAAACGGTTGAGTTATCAACAAAAACACGTTTATAGCCCATGAGTAAGCATGCTTTTTACTGGCTGGGTAAGTTTCTAGATATACTAATTTTTTTTTTTTAGCAAAGTTAAATTAAATGGTTGAGTTATCCACACAAACACATCTCAATATGCTCTTAACTCTTTCACTCCCAAGATCTAATTGGTAATTCTCCTTACTGTCTGCCATACAATTCTTATGACGTTAGCTCAGAGAATTTGGTATTGGATCAGCTAATAATCCCATAATTGATATTCTTCTCTATTCTCATCACCTACCTGCTTGATATTGTATTGATATTGTAAGGAGAAATTCTGTTTTGGTCACTTGTGGAAGTGAAAGGGTTAAGGCACTCTTCAATTTCACTTGGAGGTATGCTAAGAAATAGTAAATGAGTGTGCATTTGAAAGACTTCAAATCAGCATGTTTAAAAAGAAAAAAATGAGGCAGTAAAAGTGGTATGATGTGTTTTATAAAAGTGTTAATGGGTTAAAGCAACATTGTTGCTGATTACCTTGTCAAATGATGGAAACTCCAGATATGGACTTTTCTTGTGTTGATTCAGTAAGAATGGGTAAAATTCTTGATATCTTCAAAGGTAGAATAATGACAAGCATGTCAGAGAATGTACACATTTATTTCCCTCAGTTAAATGTTAGCTTCAGTGATTTGTTTTGAATAAAACTATAAATTTATATGCTTTATATCACAAGCATTAGAGTTGAACATCAGGTAAAACTGCGTCAACCTAGTTTGATTGTTTTTTCCTTTTTCTCCAGATACAGTACATTATCATAGTCCTTAGACAGAGGAAAACACAAATTGCACTACAATGAATTCATCCCAACCTGAAATCAGTTTGAAATACAATATATGTTGTTGAAAGAGGACGAGTGTCATGTAATCAATCTATGAATTCCACAGCGGTTTCAAAACAAACCGGCAACCACTTAAGTTCCATTGGCTACTTAATAACATATCACTGGTTACCTTGGTCAAAATAATTACCTTTTTGCCCTTGATGAATTTTTTACAGTCACCTACTTTTGCAGAGTCTGATGCTCACTTCAATACATTTTTGAACCTCTCCTTTGAAATCAAATCTTCCTCTTGGATAGGGCAGAGTAAAAAATAAAGTGAAAATATGTTAACTAGCAGTACCAACTAAATTCAATTCTTAACCAACTTACGTTAGCAGTTCATCCTGATCTGTGCCATTGCTCTTATTGTTTAAAGGTTTCTGTTCCTTTTTTTGAACAATAACTCCCTAGGACACCAAGGAAACAACTTTGTCAGAATAATACTATCCAACAAGGAATCTGTTTGTTTTTCAACCAAAGAAATGCATGCTGTTTACAGTATCCAGAAAAGCTGAGTTAAATTTCAAAAGCAAAATGACATATTCAAATTTGGTGTTTTCTCCAAGGCCCCTTCCTCCAATCTTTCACAAACCCCTCTCTTTTGAAGCTTCAAAAATTTACTAGCCCCAGAAAAAATTATTTAAGGAAAGCATACTTACATTGCATTTCTCTGTGAGTGTCATTTCCAAAAAACTTTCAGCTTTCTTTAATGCCTCCATAACTTCAGGAAGATCTAAACAAACAGAAAGAGATGGCAATGATTGTTAAATAAATTTAGAAACATTTATTTGAATTTTAACAAATGATTTAACAATTAATGCTAATTAATTTACCAACCTTCTGCTACATTAAATCCTTTTCCAATCTTGACATTTTCAGGGAACCCTACTTCCATAAGGCAATGTTCTATCAGAGCAGCACCATACACTGTTGGAATAAGAAAAATGCTGTTGATGAAACACATGTAAAACAGAGCCCTGTATCTGGCTTCAGCCATCTTTAAGCTAATTCAAATGACAAACTTTTCAAGAAAGTGTCTTATCATCTTCAATAATTTGTAAGGTTTACAGTCCCGTGTGTACATGTAAGTTCTTGAAGTTAAATTTCAGTGCTGACACCCTAACTGTTTAACTCCTAGAGGTGATCACATGTAACTTCTCCCTAAAATATTAATACATTATCAAACAAATAGGTTTTGAGAATACTCAAACTTATCAGGTAGAGGTTGTTATCTTGATCTAAGACCAAATTCTCATAGCTAATTTAGAAGGAAATGCCAAGCAGCTAGAAGGGAGAGTTAACAATCAGATCTTGAAAATTTAGGGGTAAATACCATCCATCAGGATTAATTGGGAAAGAAATTATAGCCCCAGTTGTGAGAACCCATTGAGTTTAATGTTGTTTCATATTCTTGCCACAAAGTTAACCCTTTAAATCCCAATTTGACTTAAAATCAATGAAAAAAGAGCAAAATCACAGATGTGTCACTGCACATTCATAATCTGATTCCTTTCACACCCAAGAGTGACCAGTGAGAAATATCTCCCTGTACTATGGTTGTATCTTCAAGAAAGAAGTAATGAGAGGAAAGAAATATCATCAACTAAGAGATGATGTTTTGTCTTACGACAAGTTTTCAGATCAACAATCAGTTAAAGATATGTTTGGCAGACAGCACACATGGAAGTGGTGTTCCGATCTTGAGAGGGAAAATTTATTTTTCTTATCTGAGTTCCTATAAATTAACACTCCTCTTACAAAGCTGCTTTCTATTTCTCCAAGAGTTACCAGAGTCTCAACAGTGGTTTAGTGCAAGAATACGCATTTATAATCAAATTTTCCTAATTAACTGATGATGCAATCTTACCAAAATGTGGATTTAAAACCTTCTTTACTTCTACTCCGTCCTTGCTTTCTGATAAAATTTCACATACCCTGAAAAATTTAAACAACAATAAATTGCAGTGCAACAGATGTTCTTTTTTCAAAAAAAAAATTGAGTATAAAAAAAGAAAAAGAAAGAAGCAATGAAAAGTTTCTTCCAAATACGAAAAGATTATCACCAACCACACACAAATAGTATGTTGCACACCTTTCTTGGTTCATTAATGGCTCCCTCTGTCGGGCAGAATTTACTGGGTATTTTTCACGCACAGCAAATTTGACATCATCAGCATCTGTTCTTGTTCTTAGAAGACTCAGGATTGTGTATTCGTAATCAGTGAGAAAAATATTGCCCTGAAATGAACACAAATCAAATGCATTGTAAAATTTATCTTGCATAAAAAAATTCGAATCATTCTACATCAGAAAAAAAAAAACAAAAAGGAAAAAACAGACATCAATGAAACAAGATATGGTTTACCCTGTCATAAAGTTCCACAATCAGATGATAAGCTGCCTCATCTGAGCCAAACTGTAAATCAACAATCCGATCAATTCCCAATTGACTGATGTTCACAAGCCTCCGGGAACGAATATGTTTACGACACTGGGAAAAAAACCAGTTATAATTGGTAAAAATAAGGTTAAAATCCTTGAATGAATTTCTTTTACACATACATAGATATTTTAGGCCATTGGTGCCTCTGGGTATGTGCAAGATCACCAGGCCAAGTAAACATACTGGATACAAACATGAATTAAAAGCAAACATGAACAACAACTGTGTTACAACAGTTCAGCAAATTGGTAAAAGGAGGTAAAACAATATTCTAGCAGGATCAATGACTAGAATCCCAGGTCTCCCTATAGTACCTCTAAAGAAAAAAAATTACATTAAAATCAATATATTACATCACATGAAAATCCGAATGAAATATAAAACTCATCTCAAAGATGGTAATAAAAGTTGCAAAATCACACATCTGTGTAACATAGGCTTACCTTCATTGAAAATCCAGATGGCATCATATTCTTGGGCCACTCAAATTCTGTTGTATTTATTCTGTTACCAGATTCTACCAGTAACATGACTTTAACATCAGTCCTTAAAACATTGTCAATAACACCAAAAATCAGCAAACTGATAGCTAAAATAACCATTAATTTGTGAAATGAGCCAAATTTACACACCATGGCCTCACCCATGGTCACATCTTTATTTTACTCCATATCCCTGCTACATGAATGTCTACAAGCATGACCTTTTCAAATCATTTTTCAAATGTGTCCTTCCAAATTTTTTCACTGAAAAACTTCCTACAAAGAAACCTGTGGAGAACTCTCCCCTTTTCTTGATGATGTCCTGTATTATCTTCCTTCTTTGGTCTTCTTTAAGAGCTTTTCCATGACTATAAAACCTCCCAGATACGCTTAGCTCTACCATGGTGTCCAATACAACAATTCAGGAATTTGAGCTGTTTACATAATTAAGAAGGTGGGTAGAAAAGTGAAGAGCAAATTTGGGCCCATTCCACAAATTAGTAGTTTTTCTAGTATGAGCCTAAGATCAGCCAATCATTTTCAAAGATCTAAGTTTCTGGCCAAACTGAATTAAGCGCACACTGAGAGCACCAATCAGGGCAGCAAAATTATGTTGTTTGTGAAGACAGCCTGGGATAGAATTAGGTCTTATACCCTTCTCTCACTAACAAACACACAAGCCATTCACGCTACATCCACATTAAAGGATGATAAGTAGTAAAAAACAACAAACGAGTGGCTTTTTTATTTCTGCTCCTGCTTCCTGCCCTCTTCTGCCCCCAATTCTCCTGGGTTCCTGCCCCCCTGTTCCCCTCCACTCTGGAGTACTGATTAAACATCATCCAAAAGCATCATTTCGAAATCATTTTCAGGGATCCTAAAAAGAAATTATGTTGCCAAAAGCTATTTGTTTGTTTTTCGGTTGATATAAAGAATGAAACGATCTCCTAGGACGAGACGAACAGGTCATCTAATGACGCTTCTTTCTAGGGGTCTGCACGGTCTGCAGTCTGCGTTTTATCATGACCGAGCTTGCTTAGGCTATCCAAAAAAAACCGCCAACTAGGCAGAGTAGTTACTACAGCCTCGCGTGAAAAATTACTTTTTTTTCAGGAAGCTCGAGTTTACGTTACAATGGCGTCCAATTAAACTTAACTCTAAGGATCTAAGGCAGCACTGACGGACAAAAAATAGATAATCTTACTTTCCAAGTCTGATCAGATAGGTCTTGTTATCGATGTCATATACATTGGCCACCCTCATGCCAAGGAGGCTGTCATAAAAAG